TCTGTGGAAGTCAATAGGAATAGGATTTCTTGCTGCAGTTAAAGCTGCACGCTCTTTAAAGCCTACCTTGGCTTGTAAAGCCAGATGTGCCAGCTCAAGAGGAGTTCATAGGTGAAATTGTTAAATGGATGTCTAGTGCTGTTCCTAGGTAAATGTGTTTGTAACAACGTTTAAGACTTCCTCCTCAAACTTGTCTCAGAGAAGTGCAGAATTATTTATGACAGCTGTATATTTACAGAAGTGGCATCAGTTTCACCATTAAATTCTATGGAGTCCCATGAAGTGAAACCATTTTACAAAGTCTGTCAGAAGCTGTCAGCAAGCACAATGTCTCACAGGCACGTAAATAAGGCCTTTAGCCTTGTTTCAGCTGTGTAGTCTTATGTATACGCATGCAAACATCAGAAACTGCAACAGAAGACTACCAGAACACCACTATCTAGATAAGTCCATCAGTCCCCTAGTAATATTGAGTCTTACCTAGTTCTCTAGTCAAACACTGCTATGTTTTGTCTTCCCTGTTGTTTTTGTCAATTTTAACAACAGAAAATGTTATTTATCGTAAACTGATTATATCTATAGGTCATTTTAGTGAAAACTTAAAACTGTGGTTTCAGGATTGAGATAAAGCATTGGTTCGTATGTACTGATGCCTACTGTAACCTGTTTATCTCTTGCTGCAGGCTAACTTTTCAGAGGAGTTTACGCACTAATCCTTCATCTTATTTACAAGCGAAATTCACACTGAAAAATTCATTAGGCAGAAATAGAGTTTCTCCAAGGTTTAAGAGAAAACATAGGATATCAGTTTCTCTAAGGAAGAGTTTGTTTCTGAAATTGCTCATTTTAATACTTAGAGATTCACAGTAAGCTGAATTTTTATTTTTCTCCAGAGATGTTGACCCAAAACAAAAACTATTCCTCTAGAGGGATTTAAAACATGTTTCAAGTAAGTGCTATAAACTTGTTCTATTTTTGAGTGAATAAGGACTCTCCTGAGAAACAAACTTGGGGTTATTTTACAACCTAAAAATACCAAATTGTACAACAGAATGTCTCGTGATCAAATTGCAAAATGAAACACTGTGACTTGAATTGATTAGTGACTGATCAGTTACAACTTGCAAATTATTTGCAAATATTTCTGTTCCAGAAGACTGCAAGTTATTGACAGTGTGACATTGGAGGCAAAGGCTTTGGAGGGGTGAGAGTAAACTACTTGTTCCAGGAGATGTTAACATCAGTATTGGACACTTCAAGACACATTTAATTACACAACAGAAGCACTATTTTTAAAATAGCATTTTTACTATGAGAACAGCCTAATTACTGGCTTCCGCTGTACAAAAAAAAAAACCATTTTAACTTAAATTATCTCTCAAAGCTGTTGACAACATTTGAAGACTATGTTATTACTAGGTTCCGAGCTTAGGCTTTGCGAGGTGATTAGGGCAAGAGAGGCATACTTTTTTTTTTCAGTGCTGCTCTTTTGCTACTAGATGTTTGTTAACTAGATAGTGGTGGCTCTTTTCTAGCTGCAGCCCTCTGAGCTGTGACAGTGCTGTCACCCAAAGGCTGGCCATGGGCGCTACTCAACAGTCAGCAAGGGAGCAGAACCACAGAATTGTCTAGGTTGGAAGAGACCTCAAGATCATAGAGTCCAACTTCTGACATAACACTAACAAGTCCTCCACTAAACCATATCGCTAAGCTCAACATCTAAACGTCTTTTAAAGACCTCCAGGGATGGTGACTCCACCACTATCCTGGGCAGCCCATTCCAATGCCTCACAACCTTCTCAGTAAAGGTCTTCCTAATATCCAACCTAAAACACCCCTGGTGCAACTTAAGCCCATTCCCCCTCATCCTGTCACCAGGCATGTGGGAGAATAGACCAACCCCCACCTCGCTACAGCCTCCTTAAAAATGTACTTATAAAGAGCGATAAGGTCGCCCCCGAGCCTCCTTTTCTCCGGGCTGAACAAACCCAGCTCCCTCAGCTGCTCCTTGCAGGACTTGTTCTCCAGACCCCTCACCAGCTTCGTCGCCCTTCTCTGGACCCGCTTGAGCACCTCGATGTCCTTCTTGTAGCGAGGGGCCCAAAACTGAACACAGTACTCCAGGTGCGGCCTCACCAGAGCCGAGTACAGGGGGACAATCACTTCCCTAGCCCTGCTGGCCACACTGCTTCTTATGCAAGCCAGGATGCCATTGGCCTTCTTGGCCACCTGAGCACACTGCTGGTTCATATTCAGCCGACTATCCACCAATACCCCCAGGTTCTTCTCCGCCTGGCAGCTTTCCAAACACTCATCTCCCAGCCTGTAGCTCTGCTTGGGGTTATTGCGCCCCAGGTGGAGGACCCGGCACTTGGCCTTGTTGAACTTCATGCAGTTGACCTCAGCCCATCAGTCCAGCCTATCCAGATCCTCCTGCAGAGCCTTCCTACCCTCGAGCAGATCAACACACGCACCTAACTTGGTGTCATCTGTGAACTTACTGAGGGTGCACTCAATGCCCTCATCCAGATCATCAATAAAGATATTAAAGAGGACCGGCCCCAGTACCGAGCCCTGGGGGACACCACTAGTGACTGGCCTCCAACTGGATTTGACTCCATTCACCACGACTCTTTGGGCCCAGCTATCCAGCCAGTTTTTAACCCAACGAAGCGTACGCCAGTCCAAGCCAAGAGCAGCCAGTTTCTTGAGGAGAATGCTGTGGGAAACGGTGTCAAAAGCCTTGCTGAAGTCAAGGTAGACCACATCCACAGCCTTTCCCTCATCCACCAAGCACATCACTTTGTCATAGAAGGAGATCAGGTTCATCAAGCAGGACCTGCCTTTCATAAACACAAAAATATTCTGCTAGTCTATCAATCTAGCAGAAATTGTATCCACGGCAGTTTGTCTATTAATCTAGCAATGTTTTGGATTGGCTGATTAGCAGTCAAACTTACATTTCATCAGACAGAACATGCTGTCTTCCATTTGATATGGCAGGGCCCTGGAAAGACTCCTCCTTCAAGCTACTTATTGAAACCAGGATCCATTTCATTTTTTTGTTGTTGTTGTTTGTTTGTTTTGTTTGTTTCTTAAAAACAACAATAAACCAAAAAAAACCAACCTTGCTTGCAGTTTCAACAACTTAACTCATCAGTATTAGCTTCCTTTGCTGAAGCTCCTTGAGCCTACTAGAAACACACATTTTCAGCCCACCAACATCTTGTTGATCTGCTTGTAACATTCAGTGAAAAGCTACTGATTTATCTTTGCCTGTACATCCACCTAAGTTATGGCTGTTACCACTGTGATCAAAGTTCTAGGCACACAGGTTACTGACCTCCAAACACACTGTTTGAAGTCCTTGTTTGACATAATCTGTGCTATTCTCTACGTCAATAGTTATTCGATCCGTTGTCTACTTCATTTACAACTGAACAAAAGCAAAGGAATAGAAACTACTAGTCAAGGCACTGCTCTTAAGCCATTTTCCAGTTGCAGTGCTGCCTAATAAGAGGCTAGTGTTCCCAAGTCTGTGGTCTGTGTTCTCTTCCCATCATAAGCATGCATCAGTGTTAGCTGTGGTTTTGTCAGATGAGACTGGCATTATGATATATACCTTATAAGCTGTAGCAAAAGGGGAAAAACAAACACAAAAGAAGGGGCAGGGGGAGGAGGAATGGAGAGGGAGAGAGAGTTGTGACCAGCAGCCTTTCACAGCTGCTTTTTAAGGAAGCATTTGTTGGGGAACTACTGTGAAGTTGCATACTCCTTGTCTTTCATTTATGCTTTAGTAATTCCTCCTCGCGCTCTCTTCCTCTTCTCTGATGCAGAGAAGATAAGTAAGCAGCACTCTCTGGAAACATCCAGAACAGTATCTACAGCATGGGGGCTCAAGCAAAGTGGATCTGGGCTGGATAACTAAGGCCATACTTGGGAAGAGGTGTAGCAGTGCCAAGCTGTGCTGTCATCTCCATCCATTTTGTGACAGAGCACAGTTGGCAGTGACCCCACCATTTTGGCTGGTATCACTGTGTGTTCAGAATCGTGAAATTACCAGAATACCACTATAAATTCTATTACTATCTGCAGGCTAAACTAACTGATAAAAAGCAAGCTTACTAAAACTAAAAAAAATGGTTTTCTAGGAGTAGATCCTAGCTAATATTCCAAATGGTGATGGCCTAACAGGAACGCATGCAGTCAGTAATGCCCAGTATGTTTAGCCTTACAGAAGTCCACAATATGGAAAGCACTGTTCTTCCAAATTACCAAACAGTGTGTTCAGGCAAAAAGAACGTGGAGTTATTTGCTCAGACATAAAGCTTATCATTATTGAGGTTAGGACTCCATTCCATTCTCTCCTAAATTGTCTTAGGATAAGCTATACCAAAACCGAACCATATCAAGCACAACTCCCACAAGGCATTTAGGTTCTTATTGATACAACACTGCGCGTCTCCATAAAGGGAATTTTACTGAGGTACTGTGTAGGAAAGGAATTTGCAGGTGGCTCCGCACTGTTTCACACGTCCCTGGATTAGAGATAATGAGGAAACAAGCAGTAGAAGCAAAAGCTTGAGCAAGGTCGAGATAAAACTGGCTACAGTGTTAAAGATGAGCTTTGGGGCAGTGGCTAATTGCTGGCAGGCTCCAGGTACGTGTCTGAGGGTCTCTAACCAATTGTATGGCAGATTCGGGCACGTGGACAGCGCATGGGGCTACAGGGAAAGTATATGTAGTAGTGAAAATGGGCAATAAACGCCTTCTGTTCAAGAGCCATCAGGAGTTCATGTCTTGCATCCCTTCAGTACTGTATTGACCCCAAGCAAAGATGGGATGGATCCTCCCATCTTCCCCATATCAACGTTCTCCATTATATTCATCAAACAATTTGTTAAGAACTTTGGTGTGAGAAGTTTATTCACAGGAATGTTCCTGTGATAAGGCTTTAATGAACCACTGTTTACAGTTTCCAGATGCAAATAAATACCTACCACGCTAGATTTTTCTTGTCCAAGTCCAGTGCTGAGATTCTCAGTGGCCATGTTAAAGGCTGCTTTAGACACCCAGTTGCCAGCTATACCATCCACCTAAAACTGAAAACAAAACATCAGATAAGCAATTTTGGCATGTGCAGCACATTCTCAAGCAGCACTATGACATAATGTGTAGGCTACAGCTATATTTGTTATATCTGAAATCAAGCCTCATGTTTATTTGCAACATCTGATTAAAACAATAATAATACTACAGCATCTATTTCTGAGTCATTTGTCTTGGGTAATTTATTTACTGAGAGCATGAGTCACACAGTTAGAAATGAGTCATTCTCTAACTTTATATTAATCTTACCCTTAGCATCACAGAATTCCTCCTTACCCATAAATTGTTGCATGCTTTGGTTCTTTTCACAATGCCAGAATGCTGGTTTATATAGAATATTTAGGTTAGCTGTTGGAACAAGTATCTTCACTTTATGTAATGCCATTCACCCAGAAAGATCTTATGATGATTTATAAATGTGTGTATTTTCAAACGTGTATGAAGATTGAGTTTTTTGTATTCTTTGTTGCACCCATATATATGGTATGGTATTCTCATGGTAGCATGAGAACACATGGCAACTTTATACAGGAGCACCTGATTGGAACTGCAAGCAAATCCTTCAGTCTTTTGAAACAGCACAGGGGAAATTGAGAAACATCAAGGTTTCACTGGCAATGGAATCTGGCCATTTACGTCTCTGTTTTTGCAAAATTGGGTTTACCTTCTGAGAGTCAGATCAGCCAGAGCTTGGCAAAACTCACCATTTTGGTGGAAACCTTTCAGTTTCCTCAGATTAGCTGCGTGCAAACTCTGAGTAAGGAAGCCTGGCCTGTTTGAAAACTTCACTCATCCTTGGCTGGAGCATGTTGTGACAGCATGAGGCAGAACAACATCAAATTAAGAACTCTACGTTGAACTACACTTGGAAATTCTCTACCTGCACAAGTCCGGATATGCCCAAAGGTAAGTATATCAGGCTGCATATTTGTATATCCAGCCAGCATATTTGACTTCTGGTTGAAGAACTGCCAAAGATGCAACTTGACAAGCAGCGTAGCCAATCTCTGAGGGCCTAACAGAACAGAAGCAGCCTGGCCCTCCTGTCCCACCAGCATTTCTGCCTGCTCTTCTGCTGCCCCAGAACTTGTTTGTCCATGCAGATCTGCTTGTCAGTCTGGCTGAAAATAATGGTTTAAGAATGTGTTTAAACAATTATCTGTTCATTAACCTTCCTTTTGAGAAGCAACTGAGACTCCGTGCCTATTTATCACATTTAACCTGCCGGCCCACTTTCAGGGAAGATGGCTGTGTTTCTCTTCAGCACTGCATGGCACAAACCCAGGTCCTTTCTCTCAGGAGTACAACTCCACACAGGACAGACGTTTGACATGTATTAAACTCCCTGCCTTTTCTCTTTCCTACAGGATAGGCACTGTGCATCCTGATAGACTACTAAAATACAGGCTTTAGAAGAGTAAAAGGAAAAAAAAAGAGATGACTTCACACAGAAACAGGAAATGCCCTGGGTCATTTTCTATTGTCGAAGAACCATTACTTTCAAGTGCTTTAGAGATAAGTCACTGGTTGAGAAATTTGTTTTCTAAATGTGCCTTCTTTGCTTTCTATCATGTTGTAGGATAACTGTGTCACTTAATACTACACGTTTTACTTTTATATCTAAACTAAGAGGCTAGTAAAGAAAGCAAGGTTCCTCCTGGGCAATTCAGGTTGTGGTCACGTTGTTTAGCTGTACCAAGCAGAATAACAGCACTTCCAGAACAAGAATTTAACCTATGCCTGAAACAATTCTGAGCACTTTTCTCCTCTCTTTCCAGGAAGCCCAAATCCAACATGTGAAGGTCAGTGGCGTGACTATTCCACTCCATCCACATCTTCACATGGGGTCAAGGAGAAGCCCAGAGTGCCCAACGCCATGATGACATTCAGAGGAACAGTACGTAACGCCAGAGAACAGCACTAGCTTCTGAGGTCAAGACAGACAGGGGTGCTGCCAAGAATAAATGCAGCTATGTCCTGGGTATAAGAGCCAGACCGATGAGTAATACTACACTGAAATACTGTAGTGGCTGCACTGTAACATATCCTGCTCCTTGGATTTAGCCCGTCTTACATAAGCAGTAATCTTCTGGCCCCGGAACCTCATCTTTTTGAGACACCTCATATTTTTGAGATACTGCAGCATCCAGTCTTGCAGCTTCTGCATGAAACTAATAAATACGCATATATCTTAAGAAATATCTTGGCATTCAGCCAGTTTTACTACTTCTGCATTGCACTGTTCTGGGTTTGTATTGACCTCGTGCTCTAATGTACTTCTTACTAAGTTTCTAGTAAAATGACAGAACAACGGGTGAAAATGTGATCATCAATAGAATGACTTCTTTCGGTAAAATTTTCTGGGGCTGTTCTGAGGGCTCTGGAATCATTAGACCGCTACGTATAGCCTAAAATGTATGTAACACTGCAAAAGAAGAAGCAGTATTCTCAAAAAAGTCATCCTAAGGATTAAAGCTTGAGTTCCTTGCAATATGAATAATTGCCATAAGAAGCTTAGAACTGAAATAGAACTTCTGAAACCTCTATTAGAAAAACAAAACAAAACAAACAAACAAACAAACAAACAAAAAAAAACAAAGATATATTTCATTTTAGGAAAGTCAGTCCTCAGATTTTAACATTAAATTATGATTACCTATATTTATATTTGAACAGCTCTATGGCTGATTGAAAAAGAATCAGCAACACATCAAGATAAATAAAACTTTACTAATTACATCTGGAATTCATCCCCAGTCCTTCACCTGGAGACTACAAGCCAACACACAATCTGCAAAGAAAATAATTAATATACTGTAGCGCAAAATGCAGCAACAGGCCTAGTCCCAGACCTGAGTTAGAAAGATACTACGCAAATATTTGCAGAACTTAGGCCCAGGTTTAGAAAAAAAATACAAAGGCATTTCAGGGAACCAACAAGATTTGGATTCACACTTAAAACACATGTTCATGAAATCTAAGCAGCATGTACAGACAACATTTTATGAAGCAGCGAGCATGCCTAGACTGTGTCTGTCCTTCTGTATCAACAATGCTATCCAACAATTTTTAAACAAGAAGGAAGGCAAAAACCTTGTCCAGTGGCAGTTAAAGGTGTAAGATCGTGGTGTAAGGATCCCACATCCTGGGATAAAGGTGTGAAGACAGAGAAGTTGGTGTGAGTTTTGCCACTCAGCAGATGATTCAATTTACCATTCCCACTGCAAAACCACTTCTTATGGTATCTCCTGAGACATCAGCATCATGTTGATTAGGAGGGAAGAATATTATATGTCTAGTCAATACTATCAATATTTCTGTTTGTGGATTCTCTGCCTACATCCCCAATTACGTAATTTCCAGTAACTCAAAAGTACCCAGCTTACATGATGCAGTGCAATCTTAACACAAAATGAGACAGTGTCCTGGAACTGGCTGAGTTAGTGTTAATGCTGCAGGATACGCCACAAATGTCCCAGAAGTTTTACTTATCAACCAATTCTATGGAAAAGCCATCTATGCAGATTTGTTCTTAATAACAATAATCACTTAATTTAAGAGCAGTCCTTTTTTCTTGTGTAACTACATTTTTACAAAATACTTTGACTGTGTATTTTAAACAATTGTTTTAATATTCACAACAGACATGGTAAACACCTGATAACCAACTACACCATTTGCTACATGACTATGAATAAGTCAGACAAAACAACTGATATATTAACATGACAAATACTTGTGTCAATGCAAAAACATATTTCCCCATTTTCTCCAGCTAAGGCCACTTTTGCTATAATACTGACTAATATGGTATTGTGTTGCTTGGCCTGATCAACTGACTGATGTCCAAATGCTTCAGCTCCTTTCAGCACTAAAGCAACAAATCCTTAGCCACCGTAGTGGTCTTGAGGTATTTGTTGCCAGTTGTAGAAAGACCCTAGAAAAGGCAGAACAACAGCCAGTATAGAACAAGGCACTTTGTTACATGTGCTCATTAAAGGGTTGTTCAAATTAAAATAATCTAAGAAGCTAAGTACCCTCATATAGTTGGTAAC